GTAGCCCAAGTACTAATTTTTCTAAAGGCCCGTCCAACAAGTGGACAGGTTCCAGTATGTGAATGGAGTTGGTCAGGGAACTTTATTTTATTATAGATTTTTCAAAAAACAAATAAATAAATATAAATAACTATTAAAATAACAATAGTAATAAAAAAAATAAATAAATATATATCTTTAATATATGTCTTGAAACTTCTGTATTATTTGAGGCCTCTAATTTATTTGAGGCTTCTGATTTATTTGATGTTTCTGATTCATTTGAGGCTTTTGATTTATTTGAAACTTCTGAATTATTTGAAGTTTTCAAATTATTTAAATTACTTAAAGGCAGCAACCTTTTAACATTGTTAATTAGCAGTAAAAGCACATCTTTTTGTTTTTCAGATGAGTAGCCATAAATGCAATATGATGATTTGCTTTTATGCCTAGTTAATGCTATAGTTGTAACTATAAGAATTTCTTTCTGAAATAAGAATATAATAGATGTAGATCTACCAGAATAGTTGACAATATCACAGCTTTTTACACTAATACTAACAGTGATACAAATAGTTTTTAGAAGTGTTTAACAAACTTTTTTACTCAATTGTATATCATAATACCACTAGTTCATTTGAAGATCTAAATAACGTTAATAAAAAAAAAAAACCAATAATATAATATGTAATATCTTTTACCTTATTATTAATTTTTAAGTAAAGTGATATGCAATTAAAAAAAGTTGGTCTTTTAGAAAAATAGAGCTTGAAATTATAAACCAATTTTTAACTACCTTCAGGATTTGAAGACACAAGAATAATATGAGTGTTAGAATTTTTATTGATTCTGTTTTGATCATTTTTTTAATGATTTTTTACAAAGTAGATACCTCTATTAGATGTAAAAGTAAATTGTAACATAGATATTTTGTAGTGTTAGCTATTATAAGATTGAAATAAAAGACAACACCATATAAAAATTCTATAAATTAACCTTTGTGATGTGTTATTAGAAACTGTATTATGTTGAAAACTTATTTTTAACTCCTTATCTGTTAGGTGGTCATGGTATTGTAACACAATACTATTTTTTTTTGTTGTTTTAATTTTTTATTTAACATGCTTTATAATTTAGCAAATACTTTTCTATTACCTATATTATATTTTGCTGCTGCATTAGGATGTTTTAAAATATAGATGCTTAAAAGTCTAATACAGTTTATTAGTAAAAAGGTGAATATTCTTCTTGATTATGAACTTTACAAATACCAAGTATAAATTCAATCATTTCGCATTCAAGTTGATTTTTATTTATAATAGTTTCAATATCATAATTATATCCAACTTCAGAGCATCAGACTTCCAAGATTCCTACCCACTTAGCAGTTGCTTTGTGAGTATTTTTAGGGATAGTATCTTTGATAATTTCATTAATTTTCTTGTGAATTTATGATAAGTAGTTTTTTTATTTGTATCTTTCAGTATTTTTTTTTTTACACTAACTTAAAACACAATTATATAAGAGAAAAAATGAAAAAAAAGAATGAAAAAAAAGCATGAACAAATGTAATATTTATATAAAACTCAAATTATGTCACAATTTTTTTTTTAAAAAAAAAACCGTAACTTTAATATGACTAATACATAATACATAAATGTTATTAATTTAAAGTTTAATTTATTATTGTTTATTAAATTTAATTTCTAATCACTATAGAATACTGGATAATACTGTTATTGAACACTTTGCACTAATAACTAATGTATTTTGTATAGAATTTGACTAGTCAATATTTGGGCCTCTGCAGGGCCCAAACATCTTCTGATCAAATTTTACACAAAATACTTTCTGTTATTTGTCATGTGTAACAATAAAATCATGATCACACAGATCACAATACAATTGTTACATCATGCCAAATAACTATACATTATTCAGTTTTGAGATGATCATATAGCTATTATATGTGAAAATAAGGCTTTGTTTTTATCTTTATTAATAATTTGTTATAAACAACTGTAGAAGTTAATACAGATTAAAGTTAATTTATATTTTTTTACAAAAATGAAACTTAAATTATAAACAAAATTATTATCTAATTTTATCTAATTTATTTGTAATCTAAACATACTAGAGTAATTAAAACTTAAATAAATTTAATAATATAAAATGTAATTAGTAAAAGTGTTATAGTTTATCTATTCAGATAATTATTTAAATAGTTTTTTATTAATTTTTGTTTTTGGTATTAAGGTGATCTCTTTGGTCTTAATTTTATTAACATTCTTTGGATAATATAGTTTTGTAAAAACTATTACAAGAAGAGTATACAACTAGCTACACATATAACTTTTCTATATTATCTATTTAAAAAGTCTGTTCAAGAGTTTTTTACTAGTTTCTATACCTAATACATCTGCTTAGATGTTTTATTTAGACCTTTTGAACTTATAATCTATGTTAACTTTATTAAATCATGTTTAGATTTTTATCTTAACCTTAGGATTAATTTATCCTTAAAATAAATCTTCTAAAGCTTCTGTATTCCTATTTACAGCTAATTTGAACTTGTAGTCAGGGTTAATCATTAATCTGCTATACTCTTGTAAAGTTTATACAACTTCAGTATCCCTTTTTACAACCTTACTAGTGCTTTATATACTCTTGTAAGTCCTTCTATACTACTAATCTAGTAAGCTCTACATGATATAACTTTATGTCTGAATCAATTAGTAACCAGATTAATGAACTTTTCTTATTTAAGAATTCTTGCTAGTACAGATTACCAGTCTTAGATTTTCTTCTTTAAATTAAGATTTTCACAAGTAGTACTATTAAAAATTATACTACTTCTCTATTTAAGATTTCTAAACAGAACTTCTTATAGAGTATATACTTTTCAGATTTATTTGTATAATATTATATACTGTTAAAATTAGTTTTAATATAACTAGAATTACAGAATTACAATTTTAGATACCTTTTCAAGTTGTCAAAATAGGAACATTTTTCATAATTTTGCTACTAGTAAGATTTGAACTCTGAACCTATTGTTTAGAGAATAACAATCTAACTACTATACTAAGATTACTATCTTCTTTTTTCTTGTAATAAGCAAATATAAGAATTATAAAAGTATTTGTATATTGTTAGTTAGAAAGATTGCAAGTATAACTATAAGTATATAATTTTCTAATTTGTAATATTAGTTTAAATATATTATTAAAATTTATTAATTAATTAATAAAACTTGAGAATATTACAAGCAATACTATATAGTAATAATGAAATTTGAAACTTTTTAGTTTAAAATTTAGAAATTTTGATTTTTTTTTAAACTTTAAGCAGTTATACTAATACTTTATTAAGATTTTTGAAACTATATACAAATACAATTATATAGAACTTTTTAATACTTAAGTTTAGCATTACTTAATATTTTAATAATATCTCTTGTTATATTATTTTAGTTAAAAATAAACTGCTTATTTAAATACTTAAAGTTATATCAAAAAAATTTTTTTCTTTTATAACAAGCATATTAATTATTTTTTAAACTTCTTTTCTTATTTAGTTTATATTTTTATTTTATTTTCTTCTTTTATTTTTCTTTTTTTTGACTCTTGCATAAGCATTTTATTTATTATATTTGTTTAATTTTCTATTTTTGCACTCTTTTATATTAAATTATTCATACTTAATTATAAAAAGTGTTTCATATTATTCTTATTACTATGACTATACATTTCTGTGTTGTTTGTCTGTTTAAAAGTTGTTTGAGTTTCTTTTTTACTTTTACTATAACAAGTTCTTTTATTAATGCTTTTTTGTTTATAATCTTTTTATTTTTGTTTTTTTGAGTAACATTTTATAAAGAACTTATAATAAGATTTTGTTATTTTCTTTTTTTTAAAATTCATTTTATGCTGTTATTATTGTCACTTTTTGAATTTGCTTTTATAAGCTTTTTTGTTCTTTATAGCTTGTTAAATATGCTTGAAAGTTTTTTTCATTTTGGCAGACCTGGCACTTTGTTGTTATATATACTTCTGGTCTTCTTCTATTTAACTTTTTTAGTGTTAGTAGGCTGTTTATTATACATTTAATTGCTATAATTCTTTTTATACTAAGTTTTCTTAATGTATAAAAACCTTTTTGTTATATTTATTTTTTTCTAAAAATTTGACCAGTTATGTAATATATTTTTATTTTTAGTTTTAGTGCTCTAAATGAATTAGTTTTTCTTTAACTAGCTTTAATTTTAATATTTTACAATTATTTTATAAAAAGTTTTGTTAGTATATCAATTTTTTTGGTTTTCTATTCTAAATAATACTTTATTTTATCATACTTAATTTTTTCTGTATAAATTATATTCTTACAAATTGCTTTTTTTTTTTACAAAAGCACTGCTTTGTTATTTTACCTACTTTTGTTATAAATTTTAACTTTAAGTATTTCTATTTTAGTATTTTTGTTCTTAATTAGACCTGCAATATTTATTATTTATATTATATTTTCTTTTTTGGAATTTTTTCTTCTTCTATATCTTGAATTGCTTTGTTAATATTTTTTAATATAGCAATACTATTTGTAAATACTTTTATATTTTTTTCTTTTTGATATTATTAAGATTACTGTTCATATTGCTATCAGTTCTGCTATTGTTGCTAAAGGCATTCTTCAAGTTTTAATATAATTTTCTCTTTTGGTCATTTTTTTTTTTTACTTGTACTTAACCAATGTTTATTTTTTCTATATTGTTTTTTTTCTTATTTTTATATAGTATTTTGTTTGTATAAAAGATATACTTATCTTTGTTTTTTATTTATTTTTTATTAGAATTTCTGTTAAGTAATTTTTAATTACATTATTTAATCTTTAATTCTTAATTAATTCTATTTTTAATTCTTCTGTTTGTTTTAATCTATTAGCTTACTTTTTTTTTCACCATTTCTTTATTATTCTGTTCTTTAATATTTGTTTTAATATTGCATTAATTTTATTATTACTTTTTTCTATTAGTGTCTCTAAAATTACTTTTATATTATAGTTTTATTTTATTTACTTTTAATCCTTATCTGTCTATTCTGGTCTGTTTTTACAGTTTTTAAATTTATTTATTTCTGTAATGTTTTTTTTTTTCTTTATATTTAGCAATGTTTTGCTAATATTATTTTTTTTCTTAATTATCTTGCTAAATTGTTATTTTTGTTTTGATTTATATATAATCTATTTTTTTTTTTTTAGTTTTCTAATATATATATTTGTTTACTTAATCTTTAATGCCTATATATTGTAGTTATTTATTTTATAATAGTTTTATATTTTATATTTTTTTGTATTACTAGTATCTTTTTGTCAATTTTACTAAACCATTTAGCCTTTTTTTTTTGCACAACAGGTCTTAAAG